ATGCTTGGTCTCTTTCCCCTGGAGTACCGTCGCCTCCGAGGGTAATTAATTCTTACTTGTGCCCTGTTTGAACAAAGCTTGGCAAACAGGTTTTTTACTGTTGACCCAGCAAACACCCGGCGGGGACTTAGAAGATCGACCCAGCAAACACCCGGCGGGGACATGGTTAGAAGATCTTCAAGCTGAGGGCACACGCATTCATTAGACAATTTTTCTCTCATTTCGGGTAGTAGCTGCGTGGAATGACCTTCCTCCTGCGGTTCTTGTGTCCACGCTCCTTCTAGAACCCGGTTTAAAGCACTACTAGACATTTATTCATGCGAATCATCGCGCTGGCAAGCATACTGCCCCGCGCTGAGAACATAAAGAGCAGTGCTACACCCTTTTTTCATTTGTACCTTTCAGGTGAACGACAGCCACTGACCGACAAAAGCAAAAGCGACCCAGGAAACTTGGGCAAAAGCCTCGATCCTGTGTATCAATCCGTGAATCCGTGAATCTGATTGGTCCAAACCACCTGTCCTCATGCGGTCCACGACCGGCTCGCGAAGTATGTGTCGCACCGAAGTGGTGTGGTTTAGGTCGATTCCCCTCCGGACTAATAGGTTGCAGAGCTTCGAATTGATGCTATCATGTCTGCCGAAAAACAAATTTCGTGTCTTCAAGTACGGAAATCTTGGTAGTTTGGCGATAATTATCATCAGGCGAGGTGGCTCAACTGGTTGGTTCGCAAATTTACTGACCGGAAGTTTTGTGGTTCGAACCCGACCTCTTACTCTCGACTTCCCCTGTCTGGGCTTGGGCATCCTGGCAGTATTCCACCCATCGTGCTTCCTGCGGGTGGCATGGCAGCTAGGCACCGAAAGTGTGTTACAGCTGAACGGTTTTTTTATCACCAAGCCTTTCGTCGCCGGATTCCGGTAGCTGCTATAAGACTGCAGTGCATTTTCTAAAAATGAAATCAGGTTTCCAGATTGAGTAAAATAGGCTGTGCAGCGGTCCAGGAAGCAGCGAGTTCCACGATTGTCCTTTCTCCGTTTTTGTAAGTTAACAACAATTGTTGGACAATCGCGTTTAGGCTGAATTGGCCTGAAAACCCCCTGGTGGAATGATGGGGTGCTCAGCAGATGTTTGAATCGTTGCACCCATCGTTTCCTTCTCTCAATATGGCCGCTTATGTTTGCTCCAATTTCATCACGTACCAACCACAGCGGAGGTGGAAATTTCCTTCAAGTTATCCCTGACTTTCGTCACGGAGAGACTGGACCCTACTGTGGCGTCAGGGTTCTTGTGCCTCAATGACACAGTGAGGTATACTAATGGGCATCCCTGCAACACTCGCAGTCACTCATACCGGGTTGCTCAACAGTTAGAGGCCTGACCGGCCCTGCAGGCTAAAGATTCGCACATGTGTGGCAACTTGTTCTGTGAAAATTGAAACTCACCTGCATTTCACACCAGACCCCGCTGTCTTGCGGTCCGGCTTTCGATCCAAAGATTTTGGCTGGCGACCCCAGAAGTCCCCTATCTGGATGTGGTAGCCCTGACACCATCCGAACCCACGTACAACCACGACATTTACAAGTAATACTACTCTCATAGCACACCGACCGTCGCGTGGTATCACCAGCCGGGTCGATTTCTAACAAGGTAAACAAGCGAAAGCAGGCTAATGATGAGACCTCCCCTCTTTCCTTCCGCATAACTTCTCTCGACATGCGATTGGCAACTCTTTTCCCGTCGGCCCAGGACAGATGACTCCGTTCGTCATGCATCCGTTTTCCAAAGCAACAGCTGCGTGTTATCCTGCGCTTACATCCTCAGGCATCTCAAACTCAATCTTCGAGTCTCAGCACACAGACTATCTGGTTGGTTTCAATATTCGCACTGCGAAGCAAGCAGGACAACAAGCTTCTCTTGCTCTCACGCTGGACTTTCTTAGCACTGACGGGTGCTCTGTACAAAAGCGGAATTCAAGATGCAAACAGAGTAGTTGAGCTACTCTACTCGCTTCCGGCGGCGCACGTCCAGCGATCCATAAGCCGCTGCGGCTGTGTGCACCGGTTGTATCGTCCTAAGTCACCGGGTTGGAGGATTTTTGCTTGAGTGGATGCCTGTTGATAGTCACCTCTATGTGGTTCGTCTGGTAACGTCTGTGAAGTTGATCGCCGTTTGTTTGTCGTGTCTGGTTATGCCCTAACTGACTGTAATTTCAACGCCATCAAAGATAGGTTTTGCGACGCCCTGATTACCTTGCTGCGGCGTTCTAAAAGCTCAGATATCATGGTGGTCTCTGAGGACCTGAATTCATAGGTGGGCAGGCTTAGCGCCAAAACCCTGCTGTTCAAATCATCATCATCATCATCATCAT